GCCGCTTCTGAGGACGCATTACTTGATGCTTTGTTTGAAAAAGCAGAGAAGGAAATCGTTTCTGGTTGTTCAAGCGAAAAGAATTTGATTGGAATTTGTGCGACTTTTTTGTCCAAGCTTTGTAGAAATTTTGGACTGATGCAGAAGGTGATTGCCTTTATTTTCAAGCCCTTCTCGGTTTCCCATGTTCTACAGCACCACGCGGAAGATATCATGTAAAATACAACAAATGCATTTTGCTACCAAAAAATTTGTAGCATTTTGGATCACAATCAAATGAACACGCCTAGACATGGAGACAAGCAAACTTAACAAACATAAATATGTAATATATTATTGCAGAAGTGATGAGAAGTTTCTTAAATTTTCAAAAACCAGAATATAATAATGCAGCTATATTTTTTAAAATCATGTTACTCCGAAAGGAACAATTAACTGTCCTACTCACTAGTGTAACTTCTATGCATTCAGTACCCAGAATTGCAGGCGTCAGCAATGCTAGCTTTATGTCGATTCATGATTATTGATGCAGGGTTTTGGTGAGTTCTTCGCTACGTTCCCCCCACATCCACTTTCCTATTTATTGATGTCTTGTGGAGGATGAAATAGTTTTCTTAGTGATTCGTTTTCAGTGATGCAAATCTCCAGCTCCTATTCACCGTTGTCGAAGGTGCAAATTCAGAAACTGTTCGTTCTAATTGTACCATTGCACTGGGTGACTTAGCAGTTCGGTTTCCCAATCTTTTAGAACCATGGACAGAGAACATGTATGCCCGCCTCAGAGATCCTTGCATTTCTGTAAGGAAGAATGCTGTTCTGGTGCTTTCACATCTCATACTGAATGACATGATGAAGGTAGATGTTGCTGTAACTTTGTTGCCTTTTTCAATTTTTGCTGTTAAAGTGAATCTGATGTATCATTGCTTGATCAGGTAAAAGGTTACATCAACGAAATGGCTTTAAGATTAGAGGATGAAGACAAGAGAATTTCAAGTCTTGCTAAGCTATTTTTCCATGAACTTTCCAAGAAAGGTTTTTCTCTTCTACTTTAATAATTCGTTATACATATATATAAATGCAAATTATATGTTACAATAATGTATTAGTACCCTGCCTTGTTCGCAGTCACATTGACCTTTGGATGAAGATATCCAAATTTAATAAATATTTGTTTAGAATGTCAAATAGGCAGTATATATATGCATTTTTATATCCAGAAGAGTTGTCCTTTTGAGAAAAAAAGTTATACTACTGCCATCCTATGATTTTCTCCTAATGTTCCCTTCTATAGGAGAATGGCACCTAATTTATCTCTTCTCTTCATGGCATCAGGAAGCAATCCAGTTTATAATTTACTTCCAGATATACTCAGCAAACTATCCAATCAGAATCTTACTGCGGATTCTTTCTGCAATATTATGCAATTTTTAATTGCTTCGATCAAGAAGGTATATGATATTTTAAATGTTCAGTAATTCTGATCGATGCTTCTGGTTATAATATTCACGAGTTCTCTTGAATCGTTTCAGGACAAACAAATGGAAGCTCTTGTGGAAAAGCTATGCAATAGGTTCAGTGGTGTTACAGGTATTTTTATTTCTTTGAGAATATCTTAACACTCCCCGTTTATATTTAGTGAGCGAAGTAGCGAGTGTTGGTTAAGGCCTGATAATGTCTCTACCTGTATGATTTCTGAAATTGGCTTATGGGGGAAGTTTTTCTTCAGTATTACAATTATGATAATGAAGAACCGAAGTCACTGGTTTTATATGAATTTCTGTTTGAAATGACTTCATCGACTATCTTCAAGTTTCAATCCTGTTTATTTGTTGAATAATAATATGGATTAAAGCCGTTTTCTATTTGGCTCTTTTCCTTTTCTGTGATGTAATAAACAATCATTGCCATTGTAATAATATTTTTCTTGATTCGCTTTCTGGTCAACTGCTGTTTAACCTGGTTCAAAGCTAAAACATATGCCGTCCCTCTAAGTTTTCCTTGTTATGCATTGATCTTATCTTTAAATTAGTAAGAAATAGATGTTAATTTCTTGTTTACTAATTCTGATTAAATGTAGCTTTTTATATTTGCAGATGTCAGACAATTAGAACATCTTTCTTATTGCCTCTCTCAGCTGGCATTTACTGAAAGAGGGATGAAAAAACTCATTGAGCTATTTAAGATGTATGAACATGCCTTGTCAGAGGATTCTGTTATGGACCATTTTAGGAACATAATAAGCAAGGTAATAATTTGGTCTCCTACATAAAGGATAATGATGTTTCGCTTCCCTCGCGTTTATTCTTTTATAATGGCTGAGGTTGCTCTCTGTGTATTATAAATTGAAATCAGGGCAAGAAATTTGCAAAACCAGAGCTTAAATCGTGCATCGAGGAGTTCGAGGATAAACTACAAAAGTTCCACATGGAAATAAAGGAACAAGAAGTAACTGCTAGAAACGCTCACATTCATCAACAGAAGATTGGCAGCCGGGAAGGCTATACCGCAGCCATAGATGCTGAAGACCATGCAGAATCTAATGTTACTACAGGTTAATTCCACTAACTTTTGAAAGTTCATTATCATCCTCCTAATGTCCCTACATTTTCAGATATATCTATAACTGAGTCGAATGACTGACCACCCATTAAGTCATTTGCAGCCCCAATTTCCAAACTAAGTTTTCATTCTTCTTGCGTTTTAGTTGTCTTCCATTATGTAGCTTTAGCTTGAAGGATTGTTTAGAATAAGACAAGATGTTTATCACCTTAAACTAAATTTAGGTGAAATCAAGAGAGGAAGGATCCACCACAAGAATTTTATCAATATGTTGTGATTTCCTGATTCTAATCGAAAAAGAAAATGTTATTTGAATATATGTTAAATAACCTTTCACGTGTGAGCATGTGCTCTTCGATCTCGCGCGATCAATCTTTTGCAAAACGATGCCTTTTGGAAGTTGTTGGCATTACAAATGCAATTATATATGTGCACTTATCTAAAGAGACATGTTGGTAACGATGATGAGCACATAAGCACTAATATGCTACAGCATTATTAAAATTTTTAGGAAAGTATTTTCCATAATCAGTATGAATTTATTGGATGTGAAGTATTTAAAAATTGTACGAGTTTCGTATAGCTTGTTGCTTTAAATTAGCTTCTGCTGTTTTTAGCCGGCCAACTTGTATTTTTGTTGCTGAAAAACCTTGAGTATTAAGCAGAGGAAGCAGGTGGTGAAGTTATCGATCCATGCAATAAAAGGATAGCTTTGTCTAAGAATGATAAATTGAAAAGCAAACACGTTGATTCAGAAGAACATTCTGCTATTTCAAGTGAGTTGACAGAGTCGGATGGAGGGGATATTGAAGTTCAATCTCCCATGGCCAATAAGAGAGGTATTTTACTGTTTAACACCGAAAATTTTTCAGCCTGGCTGTTCCCATAACTACAGTGAACTGTGCATTTGCAACAAACATGAGATGAGTTACATCATTCTTGACATGTGAACCGTGCAACTTTTTCTTTTTTATATTTTTTGACTGACGAAACTAATTATCATAGGAGGAACCATGTCCAGAACTAAGAAAAGCACCATGAAGGAGGGAAAGGGTGATAACACTGGAAAACGGACTATTCGGGCAAGAAGGTATGGTTTGCAAGATGATGCACCTTCTGTTTCCTATTGCGTTGGAGTGCTAATTTCTGATTTTACTTATCCATCTGTTTTTTTAAAGTTGTACATAAATTAAAATGGTCACGTCTAACGATAAGTTCATGACCATAGCTTTTAAAAATGGCAGTGTGATAATGTGTTCTTTTTTCTGCTTACTGGTTACTCAATAAATTCAATAGAATGGTGTCAGACGTGGTTAGAGAATGGCAGGCTCGATTTATTTGGAAGTCAGTAATCCCATCTACTTATTAACATGTTATTTCTGATGCTTATTCAAATTTTTGCCCAACATTCATTCTTTACGATATGAAAATAATACCTAATGATGTTGATTATTAGAAGCTAAATGTCCACTCAAAAATTGCAGATATGACGTAGTAATTCAGATTGGTAACTCTACATGTAATTGAAAAATATTGAAGAACCAATAAGAATCAAGGCAACTGAAGTAACTCTGTTTCTCCATATCATTTATCGCGTGCTTCAATGGATGTGACATAATTTGCGTGATTATGCAGGAAGGTTATTTTGGATGAGGCGGAAGACTAGTAAGCGAATGGACATTATTCTTCGGCGTTTATTTATGCCTATATTGAAGCGAGTGTCAATTTTTTAAAGTGCCCATAAGGAGGAAGATATGCTAAGCAGCTTCTAATGGAGACGCTATATGTTTGACTTTTTGTCGAGGTCTTGAATATGAATATAAATTGGACGTAATGTGGAGCCCTATTATTACGAGGTTGTACATACGTGCTGAACGGTCTCATCTGTTCCTCGTCGTTCCCCTTGAAATGCTAGGATGCAGTTGTATAACTAAAGCGTAAAGCCTTTGTAATCATCGCGCTATGGGGACTGTTGGACTAAAACATTGAGGTTTTGAATTTATTTCTATTCCCATGATAAACTAAAAAACTCTTTTGGGTGAAACTACTAAACTCTTCCTGGTTTCACTTCTAAAGAATTTAACTTGGGAAGTGCATGCGCCTGGAAACTTACTGTAATAACCCAATTTTTTTAAAAAAATTAAAAGTTAAAATTAAAATTAAAATAAAAAAATACATAATATTGTGTTCAAGTGTATTTATATTAATTTTGGAATAAATTAGCAAGAAGAAGAGTTTATCTAGTGGCAATTATATTGCTACTTATTTAATAGGTCATGAGTTTGAATCTTACCAGGACAAGAGTGTAAATTTTTATATTTTCTCTTTTGCTTCAGCCTATTGACAAAATTACAATGATGCCCTTCTGGAAAAAAAAAAAAAAAAAGACAGAGACGGAGACCTAAACGTGTGGCTTTTTCTCTCCTTATATTTTCCTTTTCCCTGCCGAAAAGTCCAGAAACAATGGAGAGAGATAGGGAGCTTCGATTTCCTCCAGTCCACTGTCATCTCTTCCCTTTTTCTGTCGTCCTCCACTGTATTTTATCTCTCCCCTCTGGTTTCCGGTGATCGCGCGGTGAAAGTGGAGACTTGGCGTCCCTATGTGATACCCAGGTTGTCCGTCGTGCTTCCCTGTCTCTACTTGTTTTCTTTGTTGCTTCTCCGTTCTTGCTGTTCACGTACACGCAGCTGGGGTCCGAGAATCAGGTCGTCGAAGCTGGTAGGGTTGTTCGCGAGCTCATCTCTGTTTGATCTAGTGCTGTGATTCTGTTTTCTTCCTTTCGTGTGCACCCTGTCTCTGATTCGTTCTCTATGCAGTTCGTGATTTTTTTTTTTTCCTTCTTCTATTATTGCTGTGGTTGAGTGCATCTGGTCCTTTAGCCTTCTTGTGCGTTTCTGAAGAGAGAAAGAGGAGTGGTCTGCCATTGGTTGAAGCTGGAAATAGGAGAACTCCTCTCCCTGTTCTGTCAGCTTCTTCTCGTTCTCTCCCTCCTCTGTTACTGTTGGTACTTAAGGTGAGGATTTTTGAACTCTTCTTGATAATTTAGTGCAAGAAAGAGTGTCTGAATGAATGATTGAAATTGAAATTTTTTTTCTAAGTTACTGAAATTTGTGTAGTGGAAGTATGATTATGATAAGTATGGTTAGAGTTTGAGTCAAGTTAATTTTGTTTGAACTAGATGATGTTAAGAAGCGGTTAGGATGAGTTTGAAATAGAAAAACTTTGACATGGAATTTGATAGTTGGTGACCATGAAATGTTTGTTAAAATGCTTGTGAAAAGGAGTTGTTTTATTGTATATTTATTAGAATATCAATAAGTTTCTTGAAAGACTTAATTGGTTGGGGTGCTGTTATCTTGTGAGTTTAACTTGGAAATGGTAAAAGGAGATATATGAGTAGGTATTTTTTTTTTCTTCTACAACTTTGTTGGATCTCGCAAGAGATATGAATTGGCTTGGGTGTTACTCATTTGTAAATTTGAATCGAATATTGTAAAGACATTTATCTATGTTATTGACAGATTTATTGGATTCTTGAGTTATGGTTGAGAATTTATAAATTACAGTGTTGTGTTATGATTCAATTTTGGGGTGCATATTAGGTGTTTGATGTAACGTGCACTAAAGGAATTATGAAGCAATTGAAAGGTTAAATGTAATACACACACACATAAAAAAAAAAAAATTGAATGTGTGTTATAAAGTTTGAAAATAGAAGTATACTCAATATGTTAGATAAGGGCAGTATTCATATGAAGTAACTGTAAAATTAGAGAAGCTTTTAAGATATGGATTTTGGTGTCTTTGAATAATTACTATTGTAGTTGATTAGAGTTATTTTTGTTGACTTAAATTTTCGCATGTGTATAAATATGTTCAAATAGGGTGTCTAGAGGAAGAGGATCTTGATAAAAGTGATAAGGAGTAAGCTATAGAGGTTGGAAAGGCTTATCAGGTAAGTGGATAGCGTTCCAACTGATTATTTTTAATCAAAATTTCTTTTATTGGAATATTACGTTGTTTTGGAAATCATTTTAATAGCATTAATGCAATTATTGGATATTTGTTGATTAACTTTACTTCATTTTGAGAAATTGGCTTTATCAAATTTGAAATGTTATTTGATCAATTAAATTAAGTTTGAACTTTGATTATGAGATTTTTATTTTATCAAATATTGAATTGATATAGAGAATGATTCATGCGAGTTCGACTTTGAAATTTTAATTATTCAATAAATGCAAGCATGAGCATTGGATATGAAATTTTATTCTGGCAAGTTTTCATGCTTAAAAGTATTCATGCGAGTTTGATTTTGAGAACGAGAACGGTATCATGAAAGTGATGATTTTCTCGCATGTTTGAAAATGGTTTTAAAAAAAAGGGACTTTATACGGAACACTGGTTGCTAACGGCAGTTCCGTTAGCCCTTGGCGCGCCATGGTACACCTAGCTAGCAGGGTGTTTATAGGAGGTGCTAGCCCGTGCGATGGCCAACGCACGTGGAACGGAGGGATGGTTATTTGTGAGCATCGTACTCACGTTTGTTTCGTAGCTCCGGCTGCGTTTGGTTACATACCCTCGTGGACTGTGTGTCCACGTTTGTTTCGTAGTTTCGGCTGCGTTTGGTTACTTACCCTCGTGGACTGAGTGTCTACGTTTGTTTTCGTGGCATAAGCCACGTTTGGTTAGTTACCTTCGTGGATTGTGTATCCACGTTTGTTAATTGTTCTGATAAGTCTCTATATTTATGAATCCAATCGTTTGATGATTTTATAGTCTATTGGTTTTTATTTAGCAATTTGTTTATAAATATTTATTTCATTTATGTGCTTTATTGAAATTAAGTAATATTATCATTTTCTATGATAGTTTAATGATTTGAGATTTTATTTGAAATTTATAAAACTATTTTATTATGAAGTTATAAAATTTTTATGAAAATTTTGTCTATTTAACTTACATAACTATTTCAAACTTTTCATTTATTTATGTTCTATTATTTATTGTTAGGACGTTATTCACTGGAAAAGATATTTTGGTCTCAGATGGTATAGTTGAACTCGTGACTCGAGATATCCACTGAGGAGTTTTATTGCTGAATTGAAGCAGAAGAATTATTTTAATCAAATTCTAATTTGATGAAAAATTTGAACTTTATACCTACATTAGCATTTGGCCTTAGGTGCTCCACATAGACTGCAGGTAAGATCCTTATATTTCTTTTAAAGTTGAATATTTGAATTAATATTGTAACAATTTTTAATTACTCTATTAGTATGTTTAACATATTAATTTCAGAGTTTCTTCGATCAAGGCTTAAGGAATATGAGTTTTGTGCCTATATCCTGTACCGGTCACACCTGATTTTTGGGGCGTGACACTTACATTGAAAGGCAGAACAAGTGAAGTGGAGCTAGTCCAAAGGCTGCGCAGAACAAATGATAGCGGAGGAAAGTTATATACAATAGACACTCATACCGGCTTGTGGCTTAAGCAAAAACTACAAAATTTCTTGATTTTGATTATTAGTAAAAGCCATCCAATTTCAAGTTCAACATATGTTTTCAATAGAACTTCCAATTTAAATTTAGAAATATGTAGTTATAAGAATAATTGCAATAAATAAGAACCATTACTAACAAGGGTGTTTTAAGAAAAATAATCACAAATATAATTTAAAAAAATAACTTGCTTGAACCTTGTAAGAGTTATCTTTACTTATATGAGTAGGTGAGTGAAGGAAGTATCTTCAAACTACATGTGCATAGCTATGGAGCTTAAAAAAATAAAAAATAAAAAATCCTCACACGAGCTACCCAGAAACGTCAGAAAGGTGATTTCCAACAGCAATGTTTAGCCGCTCAAGAAAAAGAAAAGGAAAGAAAACATAGTGTTTAACTTGAGGCCTACATGGAAAAAGCAATGCTTCCAAGTTCCAGCTCACGTTCATATTTCGTCCTCCTCAAACGGATCTCGTTCTGGGTAGTCACCAACCTAAAAAGGGATATTTATATATTAAAATCTCGGACTAAAGCATCTGGGCCATAATTTTTTTTTTTTTAAATCTCAAACAAAAGCATGTCATTGGAGTGCAGATCACTTATTTCTGTGAGGATACTAACCTATACTTATCTTGAATTTCAGATTAAAAACACACTTCATAAGACAACAGATTGAACAGGCAATTTAACCTTCTCTAATTTACCGATCCAATAAAATTTAAGTATTAAGCCTAAAGTAACCCAGTTCAAAATCAGCATTAGTGATCATAAGAAACTCTTGTCCCAAGACCTCAGACGTTTTGAAACCAAACAGAGACCTCAGTCAAAGGCAACTCTATTTCATCAGGTCAAAAACATCAAAATCGTCAATAATCAATTAAAAAAATATAACTTTTAGCGCATTATTGGCTAAACAAAGAATTATAGCAGGTGATACTAACAAATCATAAATAATACGACTCGTTTTCAAACTTTACTAGTCAATATGACTTGTGTACAAGAATAAAACGTAATTGGTAACGAATAACTTCATGCACTAGTCAATTCACTACAACATGGTTCTAAACAAACCTTTACTTTCTCTGATCTAACCATTGCACCATGAGATGGAGGGCATTCGAAGTAGCGTACTCCCTTCACCCTACAACATAACCGAGAGACATCAAAAGACATGTAGGTACGGCCATAACATTAGACAGACAAATAACGTCATGCTACAAAATAATAGGAGCCAACATTGTATGGGCATTAAATACAATGAAAAAAAATGGTCTAAACAACATTAATATGTTGACGAAATGAAAATAGATATTGCTGTGTAAAAGAGATTCTAGAACGATAACAAGTGAAATGACATACAAGAAGAATCCAATATCAAAATTGTCAAGGTAGATCTGAGTAATTCGAGAAATAAGCATAGCTCATGTTATGCTGAAAGTTTAAACAAAGGATTAGGAAAGTTCATGGTTTACTTGAAACAAGGGGAGAGGTTCATACGTTGGTCCAAACAAAAGAGAGGCTCATATACATTTATATTAGATTGATGTGCCAGCAACATGATCGCTGTAATCACATGTTCAAGCCACAAAGGACACAATAAAAGAAAATTATCATCAAACTTGTGTTTCGCAACTGAAACATGAATATTATCAAAAGGCAAAATGTTGCACTTCAACAGGAAGTATGCAACCCAAAAAAGAGACTCCTCGGGTGATCCAGTTCCACCACTAAAAAAGCAAGAGTTTCATTCGAATTTATTCAGGAATTACGATTAAGATTCCTGATTGATGGTCATGTTAATTCACAAAAATAAAAAAAAAATCCATAATTCTCTTTTTCCAATCAAGCAAATATTGACAATTAATTTTTTGTACACTACTTTATAAGGATCTAAATCAAACACACAATTTTTTTCAAAGTACCAACTTGAGGCCACAAGATTGCTTTGTTCGTCACCTCCAGCTTGTGCCACATAAACCAAACCTCAACCCTAGTCACAACATCCTTGAAGTTGCATAGACCAAAGCCATACTTTCAGGCAGTTTGGAAGTTTTGCACATCAAAGTTTTTACCAGGAGGAAGTATGAGTGTATGATCAATTTGAGGAGGGAGCATTTTTATGTGGGGTTAATAGTAGTTAAGGGGGTAAAGGAAGCTAGTTAGTTAGGGTATTGGTACAAATAGGTGATATGTAAATGTGCGAAGCGTCATATGGATGGAATAAAACTTCTACATTTAGCATGCATCACTTGATGGTTAAATTTTAGAGTTAAGACTATATGCTCTCTGAATTCTGGGATTGAATGGCTGGCGTCGTAGCTATCTCTTTCCACTATGTATTTATAAGTCTTTCTAATATATAAAAGAGAAAAAAAAAAAAAAGAGTTCAATCCTGAAAAAAACTTCAAATATTTACAATTTTGTTCAGGAAATATGAAGTTGATAGGATGCTAACGAGTAAACTGATATACTTGAGGGAGAAATAATCTACAGAAGCAAATTCAAAAGCTACGCTTAAGCGTAGAGATGTTTACATATGATACACAAAGAAAGAGGCCTTACATGCCATCATGCTTGCCCAAGGGTTCATCGTACTGTACTCCAACCCACAAACCAGGACCCAATGCGTCTGCCTGGCCAACAAATTTTACTACACCCCTTTTCTCCCCAGGTTCAACTTCACATCTGGAACCTACCTTAATATTTATAAATTCAAGAGAGGAGTAGAACATCATTATTGTCAATATTTTACTAAATAAATGATTCGACAGACTTTGGATAATGAGAAAATGCACAATTTATAACTGTTTGGAGAAAGAGAATAAAGGGGAAAATATGCATCTATCAGAAAAAGGAAGACATGCAAGAATTGATGTGTCCAAAGGAAAACGCACATCCAACAAAGTGTGATTCAAAAAATATTTACACAATTCAAACAACAATAGCTACAGCATACAGCTAGCTGTTGATCTTATTAGTCATTAACTCTCTGGTTAACATGACAAGCAGTAGATGATTAGCAAAAATTTTTAATAATTGGTAACGAGATATCATAGGAAGTGCGTGTGCTCATAGAATTTCTAAGTTCATTAAACTCTACCCTAACAAGTCATTCAACAATTATATCAACTGTTGTCTTAACAAAAATAACAAAAATAGTATAGTTGATTTGGTCTCTGCCGTTATTATACAAGATAATAAATGAGAGAATAGTCAAAATACTACACTTAACCAATCAATAGCCAACTCTTATACTCCATCTATTTTCCCTTGCCACATCAGCACATCCATATGCTAATGTTCATCTCAGACTACAAATTCTATAAAGCAGTTGTGATCAATAGAAAACTGAAGAGAAAAAAAGAGACATGATTGACTGACCTTAATGTTTGAACATAGGCCTTCCACAGAGGTGTCTGGCACCTGTGCAATGAAATGGCCAATCATTGAAAGTATCAGATAATTATCTAGATTGCGTATGATCTATTTTAGTTAATGAACACGTAGAACTCTAATGCAGTCTTCTATCTTTATGTTAAACATGAAAATAACTCTTGGAGAACATTTCAACAACATATAAGAGAGATAAATGAACCAAACACTTACCTTTGCTGCAACAGCTGATTGATTTTGGGAAGACAATTTCTCTTTGAATTTTCTAAAAGTTCCTGAGAAAAGCAATATAAAAACACACATCACAAACTATTTATAAATATTTATGGAATAATTTCCATATCAAAACTTCTTGACAGGCAGTATATTTTTCATCTTGTATTCGACTATCTCCATGGCAACCAAGTCTAACATAAATACACATACGTAGTAAATTCTTTGGATGAAAGCTGAACTTTTACTAAAAAGAAAATGGTTATGAAAACGTATATCTAAAGAACAAATAAATATCACACAGAATATGACCCAAATATTAAGCAATGGCCATTACTTTCTTGGTAGCTGAATTTATACATAATTTTAATATGGAATCCTTTTTTAATAAGAAATCTGGAAGAACTTTTGAGCAACTCTACATTGAGCCGATCAAAACAAACATATCCAATAGCAGACCTGCAAGAACATCACTGTAGTACTTTCCAGCACAAATGTTTGAAATGATAAGAAGGAAACAAAACTGATCATTTAGAAAGAAAAGATAAAACTGATCATTTAGAAAGAAAAGATACAAGTCAAACCAATAAAAACCTCTGTAGAGAATGCATTATCAACTACTCATCTTTGTCATAATCTAGCCTGTTTATGGGTAAAAACAAAATGCATTTACCCAGCTTTGAATGCAAGTGTAAAGACAAATAACCATCTAATTCTAATGAACAATTTAATGTCAAAAGTCGATGGAACAAATGTCTGTTTCCACCTCAAATTCAAGAGAGGGGGAATGGATAAGATGACATGCCTTGACGCTTATTATAAGCTTCTTCAGAAATCGTGTATTTCTCCACCAATGAAGTATCTTCCAGCCAACCACCAGACGTGACAGATGATGGATCAAGATCTATAACATGCAAACGAAACCTACCCCAGAAGCAAATGCATAGAAGCCAATTAGATCTATAAATCAAATATCTATGCTGTACTTTTGACAACCTAAAGGACTAGCACCAAAAAGGAAAGAGAGGAAGGAAGGTGTAAGAAAACAACAAAAAGCTGCTTTTGTGAATTACATAGATAGCAGACATGAACAACAATAAAGCAACATATTTCTCAAAGCAATGTTGCATGCATTTTGACAAATGAAGGACCTAGGATGCTGCGGCATACAAGACCATAACAGTTGAAAAAGAAAAACACTTGAAGCTCTCATATTTTGAACCTTGTCCCCAAAAAAACACAGTAAAAGGTGACACCAGAACTTGAGAACTGGAGCAAACCGCTACGGAAGGATCGCTAGATGGAGCGCACGCATAGTCCTGCAACAGATTGAACAAAGAACTCTACTAAAGGTGGCAGCAGGGCGACATCAACCCTGCAGTCCGACGCAGTTAACATAGAGCAACTCCAAAAAAAAAAAAGTAACTTAGTACATATACGAGGTGTGA